AGATTGTCGAAGCTACTATAGTATTGCTGGCTGCAAGTAGTGGCGGACTCGAGGGCAAGTCTTCCTTGAATTTGCTGCACTCATGTTCCCTGCTTCAGAGAAAGATGACACCATGTGATGCCCCCCCCATGATGTTCCTCGGCGAACCCACGAACTTGATCCTCCTCTGGCACGAAAGAGGAGCGAGCAAGCCAAGACTCGGTGGCTGCAATCTGGTACGTGCCCCAAGTGTTTTGAGTGAGTGCTTCCTATCCTTTTTATGACTTAGGTTTTAATAACTATGAGTATCGTGGAGAGGAGAAAAGATTCGGTTTACTATCTGAGACTTTCGAAAGACTCTGTATCCAGAATCTTAGTTTCTGGCGACAAGCAATGAGAATCAGGAGTCAAGGCCAAACAACTATTAGCACTAAAGAGTGGGAGGTCTCCGGCTTTTGAATTCAAATTTGATGGTAAGCGAATTCGAAGATCAGACCTCCATTCTGAGACCTAAAGTGCTCACTTTTGGGGATTGTTGCGGAATCACAACGGTCCCTCCTTGAGCTCCAGATCTGAAACTTTCGATGTATTTTGTATTGGTCTGAGAAGAGTTTGCTCTAAGTTGCAGGCAGCCCTGTAGGGTTTCTGATTGAAGTCATTTGAGCCTAGTACAAACACGTTACGTCCAAACGAGCGGCAGTGAGAGGATGCACGGTGATGCGTCAAACCACCCTCAGCTTGTAACCAGGGCCCCACTTGGAACCCCCCCACATACTGCTGATGGAGATTACTGCATGTAGCTGCCTTCGATACTTGAAACATTGACAATACTTGCGGGGCCATATACTAAGTTGCCCGCCACACTTAGCCATATTATGAAGGGGAGTAGTTATGCAAGGGGCAGCTGTTATGCACGGTCAAGTGTGGATCACTTTGAAATGACTTCAGGTCAAGCTAATCAATCTTCCGCTTTTCTCTGTCACCAGTACAGGATAGATCCGCGAAGGTGCGTGACTTCTTCAAGCCGTGTTTAAGTCGGCCAATTGCCTTTCTTAGGCAAGGGGCAGCCAGCTCGAACCCGAAAGTGGAGATTGACAAGTCAATACCGACACATAATGCTAACGATCGCACAAATCAGGGCCTCCTTTTGGCAGGTGGTGATTGAATCAATGGCGGGGCGTTTCTCAGCTGTTATCACCTAGCCATTTTCTCGTGTCGTAAAACTAATCGCTTGAAGGCAACGCAGAATCCTACATCATGCGATATTTTTTACGAGTCGAGAAAAGGTCCTCAAGTAAAAGACGAACCTCTGACGTGCTCCGCATAAGAGGATAGGCTTTCCCAGCCTAGGTAGTGAGCTTACCTTGTTGACGTCTTTAATCTTCATTCATTTCTTTATCCAGTTTCGCATGATTCGATTCGACCTAGGTTTCGTGTAGGTGACGGCCGCCGCTTGAATGAGCCGGAAGCGTTCATGTAGCGACGAAGAGTTGATTGGGACAAACGGTGTGAGTGGCTGCCGTGCTGAACAAAAGCGTCACCATGGCGGCGGTGGTTCTTACGAAGTGGCGGGCGCGCGTGGTGAGGAGGGAGGAGGCTTTTTCAGATGGGTCTGCTTATGTTTCTGATTATGTAACTGCTTATATGTCTGCTTGTATGTACTTGTGACGGTTGGACAGGGTTC